AGTGATGATTGAATAAACAAATGGAATTAACCAATGCCTAAGCTTGTAGGTCAATTACTTTATGAATTTTTGATAAAAAGGTTTTGAAAAAATTTCGCTTTTCTAAATTATATTTCGACATCTACGATTGTTACAAAAACTCGCTCTGATACCACTGTAAGATGAACAAACAATAACGAGTGATTGATATTCCTGTGAGGGTGTTAATCATGCAAGATGGAAACAATAAGTTGGAAGCAATACTTGTGCTGTTAGTTCATTGGTTTTGAATAATCTTCAAGAACACATTCTGTCAAGCATTTATAACCATAATGACAACCATTGCCAAAGGTCACAACCTTTGGAATATCAAATACAAAACTAACAGCCACAATGTTATGAAACATTGTGTTTATTGTGTTCAAATTCAAACACTTGAATTTCCAGATTGTTCCATTTCCTTGCGGAAAGGTATGCACAATCCATTGGGTCATGGTCAAATATGGAGAGGTACGACACATTAGGGTGTGGTCACAATTATTCTAACATGAATAATTTATTACTTGGCTCAATAAGCATATATGCATTATAAAAAACCAAACTACTAAAGCTTTATTTGTGTTTAACTCATTAAAAACTAGTTTAAGATTGACTATTGTATAAATAAGTCAAATTTAAACACGTTTTGATACCATATTATTAATGGTTGCTTGGCTAATTTCGCTGGATAAATTTCTTGTTGGGGAATGGTTGGTTACCATAGACTGTAGTGTCATACAATGGTGACTCAGGATCATAAGTAATCAAATTTAATTATTCTAATTGAGGATTAAATTTAAACTAATGAGAAAACCAAAAAAGAAAAAAGAAAGAGAGAAAGAAAGATAAGGTAACTAAGAGGTAATAAAACGGACATTTGATCTATAAATCTAAATTTAGATTTTCTTTGTCCAAAGGTCCATACTTTGAAATATTATGTCAATAAGCACAAACTCCCACAAAATGACCAAAATACCCCTCCGCTACCTCCGCTTTCTCTCACCGTTTCATTTTTTTTCTCTCTCTCTCTCTCTCTCTCATATTCCTCAAATTTCAAATCTCACTCTCTCCTTAGATCTCTTCATTCAAAACCCTAACCTTTCTCTCTCTCCTCAGATCTTCTTCATCTCTCTCTCTCTCTTAGGCATCGGACACCATGCCCCTCACTCTATACATCACCAATGACGTTAATCAACGTTTGGGCCTCCGATGACAACTTCGAAAACGACGTTGACCAGATCCTCCTCAAAATTTGAACATATAGCAGCTTGATGTATTTCAATAACAAAGGTTTGAACAAATAAAAAATAAACAAATAAAATTCATCAAAAAAAATTGAACAGATAATAAAATTTGGACAAATAGATTTAAATAGATAAGCGAAAAAATTAAACAGATAATAAAATTTAGATAGATATTTGAACAGATAAGAGGAACAAATTGAATAGATAGTCAAAAAAATTAAATAAATAGATTAAGGGGTAAAATTAGAAATAAAATGTCCTTTAAAATAACAAAATGACTTATCACTGAACTATTTTACAAAAAGTGGATATCTCACCAACAAAAAATATTTACTGGACCAAACGCTGTATACCCTCTTTAAATATACTAGGGTAAATTATAAATATACGCTTGAGGTTTGCTTAAATATAAATTATCTCATTTGGTTTGAAAAATTAAAAATACCCCATTTTTAGAATTTTTTATTTAATAGAATTAGCAAAAAAATAAAATTTCTAACTATTCTCCTATACAATAATAAAATTATCATAAATTATTAATTGAAATATATTTGTAATATTATTAAAAATTATTGATTAACTTGATAATTTATTAATAAAAATGAAAATTTGTTACGCGATTAAAAACGTTTCTAATAGTTCATGAATGGGATTATCATAAGGGGTGATATGTAATTTTTTAAATCACAATAGATAATTCTTGTTTTAAATAAATTTTAAGAGATATATTTATAATTTATCCTAAATATTATTAGTAGCATTAATATTGTATTTTAATATAAAATAACATAGGTTTTTTTTTTGTTTTTTTTCAACACAAATAAAGTTCTACCCAACCATACTATGGGTAAAGTAGATTTTGTCCAATTGTTTTTGGCAATGCACCATGTAGGAGGTCTTTTTTTTTTTTGTTACAGGAAAATCCTCCCACTCTCCCGCAGGTCCAAGGCAGCGCCCCTTGAGGAGATCACCAAGGTGTCCTGTTGTCCGTTCCGAGTAAGAGACTATAACCTGGAAGCTTGTCCCGATCTCCCAAGGCAAGCTCCGCTTAAGTCAGGACTCGTACAGCGGGGGAGAATTAAACCCACACTAAGTAGCTGATAAGGCATCTTTGAGGTCAACCTCCTAACCAACTATGCTACGCCCAGGAGATTGGCCCAGAGAGGAGTTGAACCCAGGACCTAAGGGCTTAAACCCCAGGCCCTTACCAGGTTGCCACTCACCCCTGGGTTACATATAGGAGGTCTTAATTGTTGATAAAAGAAAATAAATGATTGTGTACATTCATTACTATATTTAGATGAGTAAGAAAATAATTACTCATCAACTTGAGTGAGATTACAATGAAATTGAGATTTAAAGGGTTATTTGGGGTGTCATAAATAAGTGTATTTTTTTTTATCTTTTTAGACTAAAAAATTAAGAAAAAATAAATAAATATTTGGGTTAACTTTTTGACTTTTTATAAAAAAATATGTATTAAAAAATTGTATAAATAAGTGTGTAGGAGAAGATTGTGATGGAAGTTATGGAGTAGTTGTACGGTAAAGGACAGTGTATGCAGAGGGGGGGAGGGGAGATGATTCCCTGCTTTTCAAGCAGTGAATTGAAGGTGTTGTTCGGCCCGTGGGGGCCTTCCACGGGTCTCGTTTTGCTAATCAAAACCGTTTGATATGTAGAACTCGTTGAGTACTATATGCTTGTTAAAAATCACGTTGATCGGATATCGATAGCTATCTGATCGGATTAATTTTTTTTCAACCGTTAACTATAACACCATCCATTTTATAAATTTAACTGATTTGATCATATAGTTACCGATATCCGATCAATGTGATTTTTGACAAGTATATAATACTCGACGAGTTCTACACATTGGAAGATCTAGATTATTAAAACGGGACCGTGATGGCCCCTACGGACCAAATAGCACTGTGTTATGAGTACTCCTAAATAAGTGCAATTTTTCCCACAACAATGCTCCGCCTGCTCTACCGTTATGATTGTTTGAAAAGGAAGATGGTGTAAAATTAATTTTTTAATATTTTTTTGAGTGAATAGTGATAACTTTTTGATTTTTTCTGGAGCACCCAAACCCTGCCTTATTTTGGAAATACAGTTAAAAGTTAGTATTTTAATTTTTTTTAATTTTTTTATCATATACTCCCTCTATTTTTATTTTTATTTTTTTGCATTTTCTTTTAAAATTGAAAAAACAAAAAATCTAACTTTTAATTTGAGTAATGAGATTACTGCCGTGATAGTATTAATTAGACAAGTGATATAATTTTTGTTATTTTGTATACCTGTATGATAATATTAGTCTATTAGAATTAAATTTATTAATTTATGTAAAAAAAATCTTGACAAAATTATAAAAAAAATCTCAAGATTGATTACTATAAAAAAATAATTTTTAAATTTTTTAATTTTAACAATTTAAATTCTAATCTTTGATATATTTTAAATTTAAATCATTTATCTATTTTTCTTAAGTAAAAATGATGAAATAAAAAGTATTTTAACCATTAACTCAGCATCGGTGTACTGTTTAAAATATTATTTTAAAATATTTAAAATATTATTTTTCGTTGTGTTTAATGATTAAAATATATTTTTTTTCATTTAGTTAATAAAAATAAACAAATAATTTAAATTAAAATAAATCATAAAATTAGAATTTAAATTAACAAAATTAAAATTCACGATTTATTTTGTTATAAAAATCAAACTTAAATTTTTTTTTTATTTAAAATCTCTGATGTATAAAAATAATTTTAGTTTTATTTTATATTTATGAAATTGGAGAAAATTGATATTATTTTCACTTCATCTCTCTAACAGTGTGTCTTCTCTCGCTTCCTCCCTTTTATTCTTACTCTGTGTCGATCGAACATCTCCAGCAGGTCTCTCTCTCTCTGTCTCTCTCTCTCCATATAGTATTTCAATTCACTGTATTCTTTTATTTGCCCTAACCCTAACAAGCTAAGCCCTAAAAAGAGTTATTTACCCTCCAATGCATCCGTGATTTTGGAGAAATAGATTTATCTATCAGATCTCTCATATCTGCCATCTCTCATCTTCGGCTGTACCTGGACGCTTGTACGGCAGAGTGCACACCTCTCTCCGGCGGACCTGTTACGGGAAGACGAAGTTGCCGATCGTCTAGGAGATACGAAGGTACGGTTGCGAAACACCATTTCTCTGCTTTTTCTTCACCGATCTGCTAAGATGATGATGTAGTCCTGGGGTTGGGCATAGGGTTATCTGACTCGCACAAACCGCCCTACCCGATCCTACCCGTACGTGTATGGGCGGTTTCGCAAAGTGAATAGGATAGGGTGCGGTTTGGAATATATAAGATTCGCGGGTTGTGGGCGGATTGCGGGTTTGGACCGCACCCGTCCCAACCCGCCCGCACTTAGCCAAATATAATTTTTTTTTTTTTTTTTTAAGAAATAACATGGACCGTTCATCATCATCTAGATCGATCTATCTATCTATTTTTTTGTTTTGCCCTAATCCCGCAGGCTGCTCAGCTCAGTTCTCTCACTCATTCTTCTTCCATTTCTCTCTCTCTCTCTCCGATCGACCAAAACCAGCGCCGATCTGTCTCTGTCTCTGGCTCCGGTAATTCTCAGGTAAGCCTTTCTCTGTTTCATCTTCTCTCTCATTCTTGTTATTCAATTTCTCTCATTCTTCCATCCCTCTCTTTCTCTCTCTCCCCGATCGACCAGAACTAGTGCCGATCGACCAGAACCAATGCCGATTTGTCTCTGTCCCTGTCTCCGACAACTCTTAGGTAAGTATTTCTCTGTCTCCATCTCTCTCTATGTTAGATATTTTTGTTTTTTCCAAACAAACCAAACCCTAATCCTAGTCTGTTTTGTGCGCAGCTCTCATCTCATCTTCTCGCTCATTATTGATCTGTCATCTCTCTTATTCTTCCATCTCTCTCCCCGATCGACCAAAACTAGCGCCGACTGACCATACCAGTATCGATCTATCTCTGTCTCTCCGGCAACTCTAAGGTAAGCCTCTCTCAGTCTCTGTCTCTATTTCGGTCTCTTTCTATGTATGAATCAATGTTGTTTGTTGTTCGAATGCTGAGAAGTTAGAGCTGTGTTGATATAAGAAAATATGATAATACTAATTTTGTTAATACTAATTTTATATAGATCATGAAACCAGAACCAGTACAAAGTTTATATAAGAAAATTAAATTCAATGAGTTTATATAAGAATTTGATTATTATAGAATAGAACCATAACCAGAACAATGCATAGTGATTTCTTTGAATTTGATTATTTGAATTTGATTATAAGAATTTGATTTCTTTGAACCTGACCAAGAACCAGAAGAATTTGATTTCTTTGAACCAGAACAATAAGAATTTGATTATTTGAAACCAGAACCAAAACCATTACTTTGAATTTGATTATTGCATAGAACAATGCACAGTGATTTCTTGAGTTTATATAAGGATATGTAATCTGTCATGTTTGATTATTGACCAAAAATAAGGATATTTGACCAAAAATAAATATTTACAAAATGGGGGAAAAAATTTCAAAAGTTAATTTTTAAAGAAAAAAATCTAAACCGCAAACCGCCCGCAACCGCCCGCACATCCGCAAACCCTATCCGCACAAACCGCAAACCGCATTGCGGGCGGTTGCGGGTTGACTTTTCCTCAAACCGCATAGATGCGGGCGGGTCCAAACCGAACCGCAAACCGTCCTAAACCGAACCGCGGACACCCCTAGTTTTGAGTTTTAAACATTAAAATTAAAAAAATTAAAATATTTACAAAATAAAATAAAATATTTAAAAATATTTAAAATAAAAAAATAAATTTTTTTTAAATATTTTTAAAAAATAAATCCAAAAATATTGTTCCAAATAATTTATTGCAAACAATTGTTTGCACCAAAAGTCGGACTGCATTGAATAGCGTGTATCAAAAGTCGGCATATGTGTGTAACCGGTCACTGCCATGGTGGCCACGTGGACATTCGTTATATATTTGCAATTAAATATCATTAGGGGCAATTTGGTCAATTTACATTTCACTATTATTTCAAACACATTTTCCAATAAAATAATTCTTAAAAAAATTAATCAAATCTTCCCAAACACACAAACTACAAACCCTACTTAGGCACCGTTTGGGAAGAAGTTGGTTGGGCTTTTTTGGCTATTTTAGCCACAAAAAACAAAATAGACTATTTTAGCCATAACAAACAAAACATCACATTCAACCCATAATCATTACACTATTCTCTCACAAAAAAAGTCAAAAAAGCCAAAAAGCTCTTTCCAAACCAAGCTTTTTAGCCCAAGTTAAAATAGTCAAAAAAGCCAAAAAGTCAAAAATCCAACCCACTTCCCAAACGGAGGCTTAGGTTAGTTTGGGAAGTGGGTTGACTTTTTGATTTGTTGATTTTTTTGATTATTTTAGTCTGGGCTAAAAAGTTTGGTTTGGAAAGGACTTTTTGATTTTTTTTATGAGAGAAAAGTGTAATGATTATAGGTTGGATGTGATGTTTTGTTTGTTGTGACTAAAATAGCCTATTTTGTCTTTTGTGACTATTTTAGCCACAAATTATCTTGCCAAACGGACCCTAAAATAGTCAAACCACATAAAAATTTCAAAAAAACTCACTTTCCAAACACCTACAATGTTTAATTAATAAATTTAATGAGAAAATGCCTGCTGATTTTAGGGGAAAAAAATGAGAACAAAATTCAACTGCTATTCTCTAGATTTGTAGCATAGGGTTCAAGTTTAGCAGCTCGTTTTGATTGGGTGATTTGGAAAGAAAAGAAAAGAATTTTTTTTTGTTCATATTAATTGTTTGGATAAGTGAAAAGTAGAGAAATTAGTAGAAATGAGGAGAAACTCATTTTTATCATAACCCACATTTTGAATTTGGAGAGATTGGGAGTGAAAAAATAAATAAATAAATAAATAAAATAAAATAAAATCTCCAACAAATCACTAAATTTTATAATACCAAAAACTGCCCATTTAGATATAGATAAAATTAAAAAACTGACATCTTATATAAAAAGTTATTTTGATAATATAACATGAAATATCTTCTTTTTTTTTTCTTTTCTTTTATGTAGTTCAACCAAAAAAGAGTGGAGAAAAATCATTTTCTATTCTTTTCTCTCATAACTTATGTAATGATTTCTTTTCTTTTCCTAAGTTCCCAAACATAATGTAAAAAAATTATTATAAAGAAAATGTTATTTTCTTGAAACACAATCAAAATCCGCCCCACTAAATTCTAATATTTTAGTAACGAAAACACATTCAAGCTATTTTCTTGAAACACTTTCAAAATCCACCGCACGTTAGCAATTTGAATATATTGGAGGGCATTGTATCATTGTCATTAATAATCCTTTGCTGGTTGGAAAACAGGATTTTTTTTAAACTAATTTTTAATTTTTGTCACAGGACCTTTGAGAAGCAGGGTTTGGCGCCATTTCTGTGATTGCGTCAAATGGCAGAGTCACCGGTTTTTGATCGAATGATGAGTCATCTTCGTGCAACATGCAAGTATGTATGTGTACATAATTTTTGATGCCTTTATATGCATATTGTGTTGCTCATATCCATAATCATGTTTCACTCCTGTTTTCTTTTTTTTTGTTTTTTTTATCATATATTTTGGGCAAGTGTTTTTTTTTTTTTACACACTGAATTCAAATATGATTGATTCTTTAAACGCTAGGATAAGCATATTCTAAAGTGGTTATCACATTTTGTGATGCTTTCTTCTGGAATTGGTATCTTAAAGTTAGAAACACTTTCTTTTCTATTATTTCTACTTTTATGTTGTGTAACTGATATGGACCTCTCTTACTTGGTTTTTTTAGAGTTTGATGCGTTAGGGAAATAAACACCTCCCCAACCTTTTTTTACTGTTGAAAACGTGATATTTTTCTATCTTCTATTTCTAGAGATGGCAGGCTTGAAAAATTTATTGAGTTTCTATTTTCTTTTTTTCTGATGCAATTATATGCTAACCATGTCCTGATATGGCCCCTTTGAAGAAAAGTAATCATTTTGAGGTGTTGGATGCCTTTAGGTTTGATTTTTTCCAGTGAGGAACTAGATGCGTGGTACTAGTGTTGGTGTGCAACAAACATGGACCATGGACATGATCCTCATTCCTCCCCATGAGTGTTTTTTTTGTGATGAAGATGAATATTTATTTCTCAAAACCACTAAATTCTAATAGAGTGCAAATGTGATAGGGAAGGAGCTTCTTAATAGAAGTGTCACATGGATACGTACCCGCTTTTTAGACGTAGTCTTGGTGTGCACTATTTGATCACATTCTTCTTGTTTTATTGAAAGACCTCTTCTCTCACCTGCTTTACTCATGTTTTAATGAACATTCAAAGGTATTACACCGGTTATCCAAAGGATCTTGGGCCATCACGAGTTATTCATTTTACTTCCGAGCGTGAGTTTGTTCAGCTTCTACATAAAGGATACCCTGTGGTTGTTGCGTTTACAATCAGGTGATTTGGGACCAGTACTTTCCTCATTTTTGTTGTCCTATGTTCATTGAACTGACTCTGGTAAATCAACTTATTTGGGATGGTGCAGGGGTAATTACACTAAACATCTTGACAAAGTACTGGAGGAAGCAGCTGCTGAATTTTATCCACATGTTAAATTTATGCGTGTAAGAAGCAAGTCATCTTATCTCAACTTGCCTTAGTTAGCTACATGAATCCATCTTTTCCGATTAACTTTTTGCAATCCATATTCCCTTGCTAGACCAAGGTAGTTATCTCCTTTCTTCCATCCTTAACCAACATTCGTTTTGAGCTTCTTCTTGTCCTTGTGGCACCTTCCCTTAAATCAAATTACTCTTCCATTGGGGAACAGTGTATTCACTATTACTCTTCCATTGGGGTATTGTGCATTCACTGGTCTGACTTTCAAATGGAGAAATCATCTTAGATGAATTTCTTGCATCTTATCTTTCAGATGCGCAGTTTCTAACTTTCCGTAGATGAGTTTGTCTCTTATTTTGTCATGTAATGCTACTATTTATCCCAACATGCTCATATCCAGTTTGATTTTGTGTTTTTTTAACACCCCCCCCCCTCCTCACAAAACAAAAAAAAAAAAAAAAAACAAAAACAAAAAAAAAAAAATTGTGCTTTGCTACTAGTCTAACAAGCACAAACACTTTGAAGAAAATGTGTGTCCGTGTCATGTCCAACAATGACACTCATTGGACACTTCCCAACATGTGTTGGATACACATCATAATGAATAGATATGCTTCGGATAGGGAATGCACACGTTAGACATGCTTGAAACACATCACAAGTTTGAACATGATACACTCACCAGACACTTCCCGACATGTGTTGGACACACATCATAATGATTAATACTATTTTTTTATTTATTTTTTTAAAATTAGACCCATACATTCTTTGAACACTTAGGGAACACACATGTCCATCTGTTAGACAGTTGAAACACATTATAAGTTTGGTCGGCTAGAGGGCCAAAAAGTAGCGGTGGTGTCTTTACTTCAATCTTTGGATGAGCTAGAGGTTCAAGATGGGCTGTCTATTGATGACGGTACCCGTAAGGAGGCGGCTAAACAAGATTTTGTTCATATATCCCGTATGGAGAGGAATGCTTTTGTCAAAAGTCTAGATATTTGTGGTTGAAGGATGGGGATCGGAATACAAAATTCTTCCATCGAATGGCAAATGCTCATCGGAGGGTTAATCAGATTAGTAGGATGTGGGTGGATGGCCAAGAGCTGCACATAAATGAGGATATTAGGGAAGGGGGGAGTGGGCTTCTATCAATATTTATTCCGTCCACAAGAAGGGGCATGGAGGTTGGGCTTGGAAGGTGTTCAGTTTGATATGATCTCGGGAGAGGATCGGGAGAGGTTGGAGCGAGCTTTTACAGAGGAGGAGGTGTTTGGGGCTTTGCGGGCTATGAGTGGGGATAAAGCCCCAGACTCGGATGGTTTCACAATGGCTTTTTTCCAGCACTGTTGGAGCATGGTTAAGGGTGATGTGATGGCAACATTGGAGGCTTTCTTGGTGTCTGGGCAATTTGAGAAAAGTTTCAATGCAACTTTTTTGGCTTTGATTCCTAGAAAAGGGGAAACTGAAGATGTTCGTGATTTTAGGCCTATTAGTTTGCTGGGAAGTGTGTATAAGTTATTGGCTCAAGTGTTGGCAAATAGACTGCAAGGAGTTTTATCGGCAGTGGTGTCCGAGTCTCAGAATGCGTTTGTTGGGGGGAGGCAGATCCTAGATGCAGTCTTGGTTGCTAATGAGTGTGTGGATTCTCGGATTCATTAGGGGCGCCCTAGTTTGATTTGCAAATTGAATGTTGAGAAAGCGTACGACAATGTTAACTGGGAGTTCCTATTGTATGTATTGGATCGTATGGGCTTTGAAGAGACTTGGTGTTAGTGGATCAAGTTCTGTATCTCAACTGTGCGGATGTCGGTGTTGATTAATGGGACTCCAGCGGGTTTCTTTCAAACACATTGAGGTCTTCGGCAAGGGGACCCTTGTCACCACTGCTATTTCTCTTCGTGATGGAGGCGTTGAGTAGATTGTTGGATAGAGCCGTGCACAAAGGTCTATTGGAAGGTTTTGCTGTGGGCTCATTGGCTGGGACTCCTATTGGGGTTTTGCATTTGTTATATGTGGATAACGCTTTGATTTTCTGTGGTGCAGAAGTAGAGCAGGTTGGATATCTGAGATGTGCTTTGTTTTGTTTTGAGACAGTATCGGGCCTTCGGGTTAACTTGCGGAAGTCGGGGCTCATTCTAGATGAGGAGGTTGATAGGCTACCTTTCATAGCAGCAGTGTTGGGGTGTAAGGTCTCGGTTCTGCCAGTGTCCTATTTGGGTTTGCTATTAAGGGCTTCTTTTAAGGCGAAAGGGGTGTGGAAAGGAGTAGTGGAACAAGTCCAACGTCGATTGGCGGGTTGAAAGTGCCAATATCTTTCAAAAGGTGGGCAGTTGACATTGATTAAGAGTGTGTTGAGTAGTATCCTCACTTATTTCATGTTGGCCCATGTTATTCCAGTGTTGGTGGCGTAACGGTTAGAGAAGCTTCAGAGGGACTTTTTGTGGGGTAGTGGTGGTGATGATTTTAAGTATCATTTGGTTGATTGGGAACAGATCTGTCAACCCAAGCAAGCTAGAGGGTTGGGGGTGAGGAGGTTGGTGACTTTTAATTGAGCCCTGTTAGGGAAGTGATTGTGGCGCTTTGATTTGGAGCCTCACAGATTGTGGTGATAGGTGATGGCTTCTAAATATGGGGTGGGCAGAGGGGGTTGGGTTTCGAGGGCTGTGTCCTATACTTACGGGTGTGGGTTATGGAAAGGGATTTGGCTGGGGAGGGTGGAGTTTTAAAAGTGTGTAGGATTTAAGGTATGGGATTAGGGTGAGGTTATGGAAAGACAGGTGGTGTGGAGAGTTTGTGTTGGAGACTCGTTTCCCTCTAATTTTTAATATTGCGATGAATCAGAAGGCTTTGGTGGCTGCTTATTTGGGTGGTGGGGGGGGTGGTTGCTTGGGATATTCAATTACGGCGGGAGGTCCAAGATTGGGAGGTTGATCAGTTGGTGGAGTTGTGGAGTTTTTTATTTGGATTGGGGTCTGTTGGGGTGGGACAAGATGTCATGGTGTGGAATGGGGAGGGGGCAAATTTTATTGGGGGTTGATGGGGGATGGTGGTAGGGTCTTTCCATGGACAAGTGTTTATGTTCCGGGGGTTTCGACTAAGGTTGCCTTTTTCATGTAGATGGCAGGCTTAGGTCGGAATCTGATGTTGGATAATTTGATGCGAAGGGGGCACATCCTAGTGAATCGGTGTTGTATGTGCGGTGGAGATGCGGAAACAGTGGATTATTTGTTTCTTCATTGCTCGGTGGCATCGTATTTGTGGGGCTTCGTCTGCTCACTCTTTGGAGTTGCTTAGGTTCAACTGCAGGGGGCGTTGGGTTTCCTTTGGACTTGGTGAGGCATTCGTCTCAAGCGGCGGCAGGCATGGTTATCGGCACCGTTCTGTTTGATGTGGCTACTTTGGTTGGAGCGGAATAGACGTACCTTTTTAGAGGTTTCTCATGGTGTTTCTTGGTTACAGAATCGTCTTCTTGTAATTATGTATAGTTGGTTGGAGGGTAGGGTAGATCTAGATTTATTTGTGTTTCTAGATTTTTTAGATGAGGTGATTGGTTAGACCTTATTTTATTGGTTTCCCCAATCTAGGGTGGTCTTCTTATATTGGTTGCATCATCTTGATGCTTTCTTAATAATATTTGCTTATTTATCAAAAAAAAGAAACACATTATGAGTTTGAACAAGATTACTTAGAGGATAACAATGATAAAAGAAAAACTACATAGATTTATACCCAGTAATCCTCTTCCTTCAAACTTTATAAATTAGTATTATGTTGCATTTTTTATGGTATTTCAATGAAATATTTATATAAATGACATATAATAAACACATAAAATCATATGTTTTGTGCGTGTCTCCCACGTGTCATGTTCTGCATTTTTTTGAAAATTGATGTGGTAGCATGTCCTTGTCGTGTCGTGAGTCCATGTCATGCTTGGCTCCTAGTATATGCAATATGAACCATACCATACATTTTGGAAGATTTTACTTCTAAGATGACACATGTTGTGAAAGCATTATTGCCTGAGCACTTTTCATTAAAAGGTTTGTGTTATATTATACCATAATAGTCCTTTTTGTTTTGTTTTATTTGTAAAAATGCATGCCTGCGTTCAATGAAGGTATACAATTCCAGATTTTTTAGTATGTATTTCTTCCTTCCTACCACTCTCCCTCCATGCAGACAACCCTGTGTGCGCACATCACATGTGTTTAAGTTAAGCAATTTACATCCATGACCACATTAAATTTTTAACTTTTTTAACTTCCCCTTTTTTTTTTCTTTTTTTTCTTTTTTTTTTTTGTATGGTGCTTTTTCAGGTTGAGTGTCCAAAGTATCCTGGATTTTGCATAACACGACAGAGGAAGGAGTATCCATTTGTTGAAATATTTCATAGCCCAGAGCAAGTAGGTTTGACTATATATTATTTTTATATTGTTTTTTCAGGTCTTGTTGCTGCTCTACATGGTGAAATCTCCATGTCTGACTTCGCTTCAAATTATTGGAATTGGTGAAAGCGTTTCTTCTATATTGTATAGACTGCTAGAATTTGGTTGTCTTCCTGTCCCTGGCTGAACTGTAAATGGTTTTCTTTGTTATTGTGTTTTCTTGATAAAAAAATATTTACAATTCCTTACATTTGTAATTTTCCCCTCTTTTTATGCTGAAAGGATAAGGGGACTGTGATCAATTGAGGAAGATATAACCTAGGATCTCTTATTCAGATGCAAACTATGCCACTGCTCCTTGTATTTATTTTAAAAGAATGAGAACCATTGAAATGAAGTCTTAGTACTTGTTTTACACGTCTTTAAAATGAATCATTTTTTTTATATATTTTTTCAAATTCTTTTAAATGAATGGTTTCTGTATTGCTTTATTAATTTCTCTCTTCTGAATGCAACAACACCCCTCTTTCCCCAGCAATGCAGTTGCAGGGGGTGTGGTTTGGTAGTATTATGAATGTATATGTATCATTGCAAGCATATAATAGTCCTATGTTCTTTTTATGTTTTTCTACCTCCGGCAGAGCTCCAATTTATGTTATAATTTCAGTTTAGATGATTGATTTGTGCCTTGTGGAAAACAAACTATATAGGCTTCATTTCTCTTGAGGCCTACTAGACTTAATCTGAATATTGTGTTCTCTTCTTCTTTCAGACTTTTACTGCCAAAGTATTTATGCAACTGTGAATTATTTTTGTTCAGATCCATGTCAATTCTGTTTTCTTGCAGCTTTTAACCACCAATCATTGAATTTGCATTTTTTTTCTGGTGCAGGCACCTAGTCAAGGAAGGGTTGCTGATCCAAATATTACGAAATACGCTGTTAAAGTTTTACCTGTGAGTGTTTTTGAAGCTTAATTATAATTTGATATTATCAACTTAATTAATGTGCTTGTATATTTGCATCACTTTTGCTCTCAAAAAATTTAGTCTGTTGATCTATCAATTTTTTTTTTAAAAAAAAAAGAAAAGAAAAAAGAACTGACAAGGAAGTGAACATGGATATCCAATCAACAACCTACATGAAGAGAACCTACAATATGACAACAGTATACACTGCAATACTAAATCTAGGGCTGAGGCCAAAAAAATGTATAATATAATGGCTCTCAATTGTAAGCCCTAGTAGGATTTTAATTTTTTGCACTTGCTGCTTTCATTGTAAGCCTGTATTCCTGACCCAGCTTTAATGTTCCACTTGAATCAGAGCTCTTTTATTTCTACAACGAACTAAAATGTGCAGTTCATAATTGTTGTCAGATAATATCATCAAAGCTTAAATCATCACCTAAATCTAACTCTCGAAATTTGCTCTATTTTACTGATGATTGGTAGCTGATGTGAAATCCCTAAGTGCACTTGTTAACAAGTTTGAAATGGTTGTACATTCTTCATAAAAATGTGTGCAGTAAAGACTCAAACTATTTAAGCTATGTTAACCAATGCCCTAAGGGCACTTGTTAGCAAGACTCTTTGTTTTAGAGAGAACAGAAAATTGACAGATACTTGTTAACACGTGATATTTTTATATGATCGCATCCTTCAATTCTTATCCCATAAACTTTTCTTGCAGAGTATTGAATAGAAGGAAAAAGTTTTTTCAATTTGAGACTACCTTTGATTGATAAAACTAAAAGGAGACATTATAGGAAATTTAAAGTTTTTATTAATTTTCTTGTCTCTTCCTATCTAGCTCTTCTTTTTAATCTCCTTGACATTGTTGGTCTGTATTTTACAATAATTGTGCTGTTGCTTATGAAAGAAAAGCATCGTCGTACTTTTTGTCCTTTTTTTCTCCTTCTCTCTCCACTTTGAAAGGAAACAATTGCATTTTTTGAACATGAAACAATACTTCATGAGGTAGGCCAGTAGGAAATTGTGATAATATCATAGAGATTCTGTCAAGATTATTTTATCCCGTTTTGTTTCTTTTTGTTTTCATTGAGTGGAAGTGGTCTGACTTGTACTTTTTTTTTTTTCGCCCCTGGAAATTACCAGTTCAACTATGATCAGAGTGCATATGGATTTAGAGAATTTTTCAAGCGGCACGGTGTTAGGTCATCTGATGATGCAAAGTGAAACTTTGTGAGGATGGTAGCTCAGTGGGAAGAAGATTTCTTTTCAAGAGTATTGTTGATTCTTTGGCCTGTTTTGCATTGTAATAGGTATGGAGGATGTGAGAAATAGCTGTAGAATTCTAAATTGTCTATTTACATAAACTTATACAATGTTGGTGGCAAAAATTTTTGATCTTGATTTGTTTCACATCATATCTTCTTCCAATTATTAAAGCCTTGTTTATTTTCTTATTTTTATTTTTTTATGTGCCTTAAATAATTTTAGCCCAGAAATCTAATCTAAGATTTCAAGAACAGTGTAAATGTTTATGTGATGATGATGTTCAACTGAAAAAAGAATTACTTTGTAAATCAAAACCAGCAGGAACCTACTTTACATGTGTTTGGGGTTTGGTTTTTTATTTTCTGATCAGTGAGTGGTTTAATTTATTTATTAAACACAACTTTTGATTCCCAATCAGGAGTGCTTTAATTTATATTTTCATATAGTGGACTCAAGTCATAGTGGTTACCCTTAATCATATAGTGATAAGTTGCAAACTCAAGTCACCTAAGGGAGGCAAGGCCCCAAAAGTTACCTTTAATCATATAGTGGTAAGTCGTGGACTCACGCAGAGGTGAAAATTTAAATTTACAATTCTGACATTGGGTACGGTTCATCCAAGATACGGTTCATCCAAGTCTATAAGACCCCTCCTACCAACCTTATGTGATGATTGGCCTCAAAAAGAGTTGAACATAAGACTTTGGATATAATACCCATGATTATTACACTCAACCAAACCCCTTTGGGGTAACCACTAGAACTTCCACTTGATCAATCTCATTTTTTGTCTATGCATCAGTACATTGGTTCGCCTCCCTATAGATGTACTGGATGGAACTTGATTCAAAAACATTAGCCCAGTCATACCAAACTCTGGCGAAAGTATGATTTATCACACAAGGGGATAAAAAAATATCATTATACGAAGGAAGAAAAGTCAAGAATACAATAGCAAGTAAAATGAAATGACAATCTCGTTTTTTGTAGTCCTAATTGAAGCCTAATCTCCAGACTGAAAACATAATTTTCCTCCCAATTTTTACCCTGGTCTCTCAACAAATCGTATGGTTTTGAGCGGATGAGAGAATGACTTTTGGATTTCTTATACATACAAAGGCAAATTAATCTTTACACTCTAAACCGTTGACAGATTAAAGTGAGCATTCAAATGTGGGGAGTAAAGCGTACATGAGCAACACTAAAGGAGGGTAAAGTGAAATTTGCCTTAAAAATTTAGCTAAGCCACGCACCAAATTGAGGCATAAGTATGATTTATCTTATAAGAAGGGGAAAAAATAATATCATTATATCACGAGGAAGAAGAGTCAAGAATACAATAGCAAAGTTACATGAGATGAAACCCCATCTAGCCCTTTTTTCGCTACCCAAATACCAAAACAATCCAACAACCAAAAGGCTATTTCATGCACTGTAAAGGGGAATGAATACAAAGGCATTCCACCACATTACAGACACCAACAAAACTCACCAAAAGTTACATGAGTGGAAGAAACTAGAAAGTCTCCCCTCCCTTTATACTTACTAAGACGAGATATCTTCACAACAACTCCTCTATTCTATATATATATATATGAATTTTCATATCAATACCCTCTAGCTTTTTTCTTATATATCTTCTTATTCCCACAGATTACAAAAGAATATCATCATCACCATGATCACAATAATATTCAATCATCTAGATTGCAACCAAAGTTACCAGTCATAACCCATAGCAACTACAGGGATTCTGACTCTGTGTCCTCTGCTTCCTTTCATCAAAACCTCCCCAAAACTGTATGCTCCGGTTACTGATCTTACCGTGAGAGTCACTGTGAATTTCCTTGATCCACCAGGTCTCAGAGTCATTGCTGGAGGGTTGGTTTCAATGGCAACTGCTGGTGCCATTCTTGCAGTGATGACGTAGGTTTCTTCTTCCAAAGCAACATTTGTTACAGTGCGTGTCACTGTTCGAGTTTTTGCAAGGTGGGAAATTGTGACTGAAGGGGTGTTGAAGTTTGATGGGTTGCCAAGGGTGTAGTTACATGGTGAATTTGTATAATTCTTTATCTCATGGGCATCGATTCCGGGCACGGTGCACAAGAACCCCAGATAATCCTCATAACCTACAAAACAGATTTAAGAAAAACAGAAACTAAGTGATTTAGAATTACTCTCTTTTGATGATTACAGACATAACTATGGCATGGAACCATCTGATGCACCAGTACAATCAACATTCTCAATATGTCCACACAAAAAATAAATGATAAAAAAAAAACTCAATTTAAATCTCAGTTAAAAAAGAACACTTTAAATCCCCAAAATAGACTTGGTTTCCTACATGTTTTCATTCAAAGATAATAAAAAAAGAAACATTATATTAATCCCTAAATTTTGAAGGAAGATGAATTAAAAGGTATAAATCTAAATTATTTTTCTTTTATCATTGTATCATCTAAGATATTTTATTCATACTTATAATGTGTTTCATACGTGTGCAAGTGATGTGACCCCAAGTGTCTTAAAGTGCATCTGGACTTCAACTTTTTTAAAAATAATGACACATTTTGATACATGCCCGAGTGATGTGTCCCCCAGTCTATTCAATCCACACGTTAAGCTCACCGGTCCTTATCTGTGGTCTTATCAACGCCACACACACACACACACACACACAAAGAGAGAGAGAGAGAGAGAAAACCTGCATCAAAGATGAGTCCAGGATCAAGAGCGGCTCTGGGATTAACATGGCCACTCCCATAATCAAAAGGAGTTGCTGCGACCAGTGTAATGGTTTCAGATCCGGAATACTGTTGAGCTTGAAGGGGTCTCTCTGCTCTGTCCACTGTTGTTGATGTTGTCATCAAGGCTGATTTGATGGCAGCTGGGCTCCAATGAGGATGCTTCTGCTTAATAAGGGCAGCTATTCCTGCTATATGAGGTGCAGACATGCTGGTTCCAGATATCACAGCAAATCCTTCTCCTGTTTCAAGCAAAAAACAATTACGAAAAAAAAAAAAATCTCAATCTTGCACCTATTCCAATTACAAATGTCTAGTCTATTCATTTTGTATTCCATGTAGATGCTGTCTTCTTATCAACCGAAGCAGCATCCAAAAATAAATAAATTTGCTTTCCTCTAGAGTTCCTTAATTAAAGCTGAGGCAAGAGTTTAATACCATCATTATATATATCCGATATTATGAAATAAATTAGTTCAATTGAAAGATCTAAAACATTGATTCTATTTCTGGACTAATTGAAGCTTACTACAGAATTTTAAAGCTTAAAATATCCGACAAAAGATCTAAAAAATGAGAGTTTAATTGTAGCGGTCAATTCTTTACCAATGTAATTAACCTCATCTGTTCCATTTGGAGCCCAAGCAGACCAAATTAGAGAACCAGGAGCTAGAATATCTGGCTTGAGAAGATCAGCATCTTGAAAACCATAATCTTTTATGTTGGGCCCACGTGAAGAGAACAGTGCTACTTGCGGTGCTGATTTGTGTAGTATGGGCACCAGACCATCCCCAATGCCGCCTGTTGCTTTGAAGCTCTTCACGCGTCCAGTCCAATCCCTTGATGTGGAGATGTTGTAATAATCTATCAACTCCTAAAACCAATGATACCCATAAAAACATGAGTAGGAGGAGCAAGACAGAAAGAGAAATATACGAAAAACAAAAAACTTTGAAAACCAAAAAATGGCTTGCATGCACCAAATTTTAAGCACCAATCTAAAAACCAGTAAGACATGGTAATTATTACAGCGGTTCAAGCTAACATATAGTTCAGCCATGACAAAAGCGAATTTTGGGGATACTTGGAAAGCAATTTTCTTGTATCTTTTAAGTGTCCTGCTTAATCCAATTACACTTTCAACATGTTCAAGTGCCTAAACAGGAATTGGCCCTTCATAATTACCATTGGGAGTATTTATTTATTTATTTTTTAATCGCACAACCAAGATATACAACACAAAATGTAGACTCATTAGCAAATGTATCAGCCAGTAGGATCCAATTTCAGCAGATATGTGTCACGCACTAGAGCGTAGATGGGTTCAAAACTTCTAGAAATCATATACAAAAGGGGAATATCATGATATTTACCATTGAATGGCTAACATCTGTGATGACAATACCGGGAACTCCAACAGGAACAGGATCAAATTTTGTTCCTGGAGAAACATTTTCTACGGCAAGAACAAAGCCAATTGCACCGAGGCTCTTGGCTGTTTCTGAGACTTGCTTGATTGATGCAGTACCAACAACAAAATTAAAAGAATAGCCACAAACAAGAATGTTTCCTTTCACCAAGTTTTTGTTTAAAACTTCTGGCCTCTGGCAGTCTGCAGGGCTGTATTTCATAACTGAAGAATCCAGCAGAACATCATTAGCTGCAACCATGGTGAATGCTTGATTTGCATGTGTAGCAGCTGCATTAAACGATGAGACATGCTTCAGATTCATGAAGGCAGAGTAAAGTGACAGCAAACTAAAAGACAATTGCATTAACCAAGCTGGTAGATACTAAAGAACCAAGTGTGATCATGTAAAATAGTAAAAACTAAAATGGAACAGATAAAAAAGAGTACAAGAATTTCATTATTGGCACTAGAAGTAATATTATGAGTAAGCGCGCGCGCGCGTGTGTGTACTTACAGATAGATAAAAAATACAAAAGCCACAGACACTTCTTTCATGCAATGAAAAATTTTTCTCCCCTACAATTCTCACATAACAGCAACTGGACAACCAAAATGGACCCTAAACACTTAATTTGTAAAAACCCTAATCTACAGATTCAAACCATGAATTTTCCTAATTTAAGATGCCAAATTTGTTCCTGCCCATTTTTTCAAAAATAAAAACTTTAATGCAGAGCATGGAAGGAAAAATGGGATCAAATTGGGAATTTCACTTCTTCTGGATCAGTTGTAATTTATTTTTTTACTTAATTTGATTCTTATTTTATGTTACTATAAGTTAGTTGGCAGCCAGTATACTCTCATTTATGTTTTATTCCAATTCGTCAAATGTAAAGTCTGGGCAGCAATATGATTGGATCCTCCATCCCTTGAGGACTCTACCTTCAAAGAGAGTTTTATTCAATTTCTATGCTTCAACCAATTTTCTAACTTGGCTGCTTGTTTCATTTTGTTGTTTCTTGCTCTTCTTATAGACTCTATCAATAGGTATCTCAAGACACTTTGAACTTTGATTTCAATAAAGTAGCCTGCTCTTTGATGACATGGGCTGGGAAAACTCATGCACACACGTGCACAAAAAACTTCCATTATCACCCGAACGATAAAGACTGAAACAGATGAAAGCTGAAGCAAACTCTATTAATGTCCTCTACATTCTTCAGAATTTAACAAAAATCATTGGGATTAAGAAGAAAAACTAGAAATGATTGGTTGAGAGTCCACCTTTGTACCTTGAAAAAAGAAAAAGAAAAAGAAGGAAAACAAACAAGAAAGAAAAAAAAATAAAGAAAGGGTTTTGTCTGTTCCTGCAAACTTTAGACATACTCCAGAGAAAAACTTTCACAACCATGTCAGGCGGCATAGTAGCATCATAGACATTGCACGTGTTTACATCTCAAAACTTCTGACGGGTTTAAACTTTCAAGGTACAGTAATCATTTACTTCACATCTACTGCAATAAGAGATCAACAGACAGATAAAAAAGAATGAAGATATCCTGAATTAGTGATGATAATAGTGTTGCTTTAACCAAGTAAGAACTGACCATGATCGCAATTGTTCTTTCGTAAGTAATGTACATTTACTTGTGAACATATTACCAAGATGTGTGATCTACAGATATGGTTTTCTGGATCAAATTCAGATAATAATGCAACAGTTTTCTGGAGATCCAGCAATGTTTCTTCCGAAAGATTACAAAGTTAAAGTGATTATAAGATAAACAAGTCACACAAAACTTACGTGACAACCCAACTCCTGGTAAAATTTTCCCATTTCCCAGGGTCAGATGGTTTTTGTATCTGCGATCGTCAATTGCAGCAGCTACAGATGTTATCCATGGACTATATGACAACAATGTTTTGGGAAAAGGACCCCCATTTCCAGCTGCCTGTGCAACAAACACTCCGGCTTTCACAGCTGAAAGAAGCGTAGCATCAAAAGGATTTAAAAATGTGGTCTTTGTGGCTGCAGGAGGAGTGTTTTGGCCCACCGAGAGATTGATAATGTCCACACCATCATGAACGGCCTGTCAACAGAAGTTTTCTTGAATTAAAAATATTTGAAATTGGAAAAAATACAAACAGATACCCCTAAGAGAATTTCAGACAGAAAGAAAAAGAATCTGAAGTAATAATTCAGATCACTTGCAGAAAATGCAGCCCCCCAACAAACACTTCAAATGATAGTTTTTCATTTGGCAGCATGACTAGAAGTCATGGTTGTGGCATTTTGAGTTCACATAAAAGAGCTGAACCATCAAGATGCATAGAGTCAACATAAAAACATTAACAAACATGCCTCACTAGATGACCAAGATTTCATAACAAATTTAGAACCGATCATAAAAACAAGCTGTTACTCAAATGTCAATACACCAACCATACAAGCCAAGTGGTAAGAATCAGTCCATCCTCAAAAGAGTCATGAACCAACTCCAAGATTCTCCAAACAGGTAGCATGTAAACTTGCAATGAAACAAAACTTAGTGGTACTACTACCTTATCTGAAATTATTACGCATAACTTACTTGCTACTTAATTTAGAACATTAATTACATCTGGTCGCTCTAAAGATCAAGACAGATAATAGTTATAACTCCTAAATAAATCTACTATATTATATATTACTATACATGGTTATGTCTTAAAGCTTCAAAATCTCAATCCAAATTTCTTGTTTTTTGAATTTTCAAAATCTAAAAATACATGTTGCAAAACCCTATTTGGGGATCATTCCTAAAAGGATGGCCTCAAACTAGTAGATGAGCTTCACACCACCAACCCTTCAAAAAAGGTATAAAGTAAGACCACGACAACCCATTTCAATAAAGTGCAATAGAAAAAACCATAACCCAAATGTGGTCCGAAAAATTAGAACTGAGAGGACCAAAAAAAGAGGAAACAAAAAACCATTTTTTTTTATAGGATTTGACTTAACAAAAATATCATTGATAGGACTTGAAAGTTTTGAAATATATAAAATCAATTATCAGATTGCATGAAAGGCCATGGGACAAAAGATGTTTGAGAGTGAACATGGTAAGTTTCCATTTCAACTACCCATTAAAGTTACAGATAAAATTTTACGACTATGTCAGTTGCATAATTGGTTGAAACAAGAAACAAATATAAATGAACCATGTTATTTCAAAGCACAACAAAAACAAAAGCAGTACTAGCTGTCCTACATCTTAACACAGTATTGGCATCTGTTTACCTGTTCAATAGCAGCAACCACATCTGAAACAAACCCTCCAAAAAGCCTGTATAGTGCCTTGTACACAGCAATTCTGAGCACAGACAAACACAAGGATTGTTATTCGAATGACTAATATCGACAAAATGGATAAAGAACTAATATTACATCATATCTTTACTGGTGAAGGTTACCAATCCTCACCTAGCACGAGGAGCCATTCCACTTGCTTTCCCAAATTCATATCCATGGATTCTCACAGGAACACCATTATTACCAGCAGCAATAGCTGCTGTATGACTGTTAAGCAATGTTATCAAAGAAAAAAACAGATCAGAATACAGTAAAATAAAGAGGATGATAGTTGAAAAGAAAACTGAATAGTGGCTGTGTAATGTGCAGCACCAGAGATCATAACAATTTCATTCATATCATGCAGTACATTTGTAACTTGTAAATAAAGCCATCAGGCAACAAAACAAAACTTAGAAAAAGAAGAAATAGAAGCATCAAATCCCATTAGACTCAAATGTCAAAAAATCATATGGGTTCTAACCTTCCATGTCCATCTCCATCCAGGGGAGAAGCAAAATCAATAGCAGGATTAAATACCCCAGCTGCAATTGCAGCTGCTGCAAAATGTTGGGCTCCAATAATCTTCCCATTACAGAAGCTCCTTTTGGTGTCAGGATCAACTTCACATTTTCCACTGTATTTTGGAAGAGGCCCATATGGTTCCGTATTGTAGGTTGAGAAGCTTGGATGGTGAGGATAAATCCCCGAGTCCACAAATCCTATTACAATGTTCTCTCCAGCCTTGTCAAATCCACCTCCTGTCGGCCATACTCCAGTTGGAAGGCCCAAAAATTGTGGGGTATGTGTTGTAAGTTTCTTCACCTTCCAATCCCTTTCCACAGATTTCACACCAGGGGCTCGTCTAAGAATTTCTGCCTACTAATATATTTAGATTGTGTAAGAAAATGAGAATGCAAGAGGACTGAAATCCAATCATCTCATGAATTGGTGCGAATAAAATTAATCCTTAAAAAATGAAATGTACGAATGCTCCAACTCGTCACCTGTTCAGGAGATATGTGAACTGAAAAGCCATTAATAAGATGCCGATAGCTATAGAGTTTCTCGTAGGTCCCACGGTCAAACAGCATCCCCAGAAGCATGTCGTGTTTCTTTTCTAGGTGACGAGAGTAAGATGTCACTATTTCACTGAAAAAGAGCCAAAAGTGCAGGGGAAAAAAGAGAGTTAGCAAGCATAGTTCTCAAAAAGCATACATGTCGCATTTCTTGGTGAAAATAGGATTTCACCAGTTCTCAGCAAGAGTTGAAAAAGAGTAAGCAAATAAGTATGTGAATGTCACAACTTATCCCAAAATGACCCTGCAGGGTTCACCAGCTGCAGCGAGGAAGGGGAACTACGAATCATGGATACAAATACAAGATAAAAATACGATACGATACAATACTAATACGGCAATGCGACCAATTCAAAAATATTGGATACAGTACGACCATGAGAAACCATCCTTTATGAATTAGGTATTAGTTCAAGAGCCAATAGCCAACTCACTTGACTTTTTTTTAGTAGGCCCTGTGAAAATTTAATTTCAATATCAAGGCTAAACTTTTTTTATTGCCATAGTACTTTTCATTTCATATTTTAATGCGTTATATGCAAAAGTGTTGTACACAAGTTTACTTGCTTGTTTAACAATTGAAATATGATTTTATAGTATCAACATATTTTCTTTCTAAATGTAGGTACTACTTTAATCTCACTATTTTATTTTTGCCTAAGAAATAAGCAAGTATTGAAAAGTTATTCATGTAGTTATCCTAACAATTATACTCTAATGCTATGCAAGAATGATTACAATCTCTAGTTTATAATAGTTTGGTAAGTGACCTACAAAATTTGGAAAATATTAGATACTTCTTAAAATTAAAGAAAATTAATATCAAGTATTGGATACATATCCATAAGTATCGAAGGAGTATCAATATCCGATACAAACAAAACTCCCTTCTAGAAGTATTTGTGCTTCATAGATAGGGAGTAAGGTAATAACATATCAATATTTTATGCACACAACCAAGTAGTGAATAACCTTTTTCCCTCAAGACAAGGAGTGAACAATCAAAGTGCATCTCATAAATGTGAGACTGACTGGTGGTAAAACACCCACTTCTCCAAAATGATACTAGAAGTACTAAGGGCTTGTTTGGGAATTGGCTCTTTTAGTGATGGAAACTCATTTATGACTTTGGTTCAACCCAACTCAATTAGGCCTTACCCCAGCCACTTGTCATCAACTACATGCACCCATAGGCCACATGCACATGCATAGTATGTATTACAAGCATTCAATGTTACATGCATATGTGAATGCTTGAGTAGACTAATTACATGTAATGCTATTTTTGGAACTTATGGAAACTATAGTTTTTGGAGTTCTATCTTCTCCGATGTCCTACAAAATGAAACTTCAGGAATAAGCAATTTAGGAACCTAAGTTCTGCAAATTTAAGACTAATTGGAAGTTGAATTATTCACTTCCAACTCAAAGTTGACGCAGAAAAGTAATCTTTCTTACATCAGGCAGAGTTTAGTAGTTAAAAATATTGAACTCATCTTTCTCATAGAACCTAAATAAATGTGATATGCGTCATTTCGGGTTGTTATGGGCAGATGGGATTCCTTAGTAACACATGTTTAATTTATTTCACAAGAAAATTACGTGACTAAAATTTTGTGTTGACTTACTAGCCTAGAACAAAAATGAACTCCGTGAAGCCACTTCAAAGAAGAGCTTAAATGTGTGAAACGCTAACAGAGTGTATAACATATCATAGCCTGAAAACCCACTTGCAGGTCCAATATACACGCTTAGGCACAAGTCAATTAAAGGATCCAAACTATCAAATTGCAAACATAATTTAATACAAATATTTTTAAAATAGCCAATGGTTTAAAAAGACATTTTAGCAGTCATGACCTGAATCCAAAATGGTGACAAAATATCACATGTTAGCACTTCCTGAAATAAAAAAAATTCCCGGGAAAAATTGAGAGTACCTGTTTACATCAATCTTCTCATCAGACTCCACAGCAGTGGCTTCAAAACCATCGACACCACCTTTGTAACTTATCACTGGCTCTCCTTCAACCATTACTATGTAAATCTCTGCCTTCCCAATAGTCAAAAGGCTAAATAGCATTAGAATTTTACACCCAAAATGAAACGCCAAAGACCTCATTTTTGCTGATCCAATGCCAACTATATTCACCAAGAAAGCCTGTTTCAGTTTAGCCGCAAACTGTAAATATACACACCATAACACAGAGATAGAGAGAATGAGCTAAAAAATGAATCAAAGCTTATTGTGCAATATTATATTACTACTAAACCAAAAAATAAAACTTTGAAAAAAAAAAAAAAAGAGAAAAGAAATGGGTACTCAACTTTCTTTGCTAAAAGAACATCAAATTGAGAGAAAAAGAAACTTCAATCAAAAGGAAAGGCAGTACAGAAGAATATTAAGATACTTACTTAAGCAATGTTGATTGACTCTCTTATTCACATTAGACACATTAGACCTAACCCAAATAAATAAAACTTTCCCAAAAAAAATAATAAATAAAAAAGAAATCGATAACTTTTTTTGCTAAAAGAAAATCAAATTGAGAGAAAGAGAAACTTCAATCAAAAGGAAAGACATTGCAGAAGAATATATTAAGATACTTGAGCAATGTTGATAGACTCTCTTGTTCACATTAGACACATTATTAGACCTATAAGATTAACTGCATAACATAGATGATAAACCCATCAAAAGAAATGAATATATGCAAGAAAGGAATAACAAAATGTAGACTAAGCTCTCACATTTAAGGCATGTGAAAAAGAAAACCCAGATCAAATCAAATCAAATCAGAACAAAAGCTGAGATCTTTACCCAGATTGATCCACGAAAGGAATCAACAGAAAAGCATTTTGTCCCAAAATGCAAAAGAAATTGTGAATCAAAATCAGCTACATTACTCTCTGATTAGAGCCAGTAAAGGTGAAAATGAAGATTAAACTGAGTCGAAGAGCAGAGAGATCATCCACAGTAGTTGAATCCACAAGGCAGAAGATAGAGAAAGTGGGAAGCAAAACCAGTGAGTGATAGTGGGTAGTGAGAGAAAGAGGAGAGAGAGAGAGAGAGGGTAGTTAGGGTTAGCGCTTTATGGACGCGCCAGCCAGACAATAGACCGAAGATGGAGGAGTCACGTTGAAGTCATTATTAAAAGCATAATATTAATATATAGAGAAAAAATAGACCATTATACATTTAAAAAGAAAACAATTCAACGTTTCGACACTTGAAATAAAAATAAAATTTTAATTTTATTAATTGAAAATTTAATTTTTTAACTTATATTTAATATAAATTATTCATCTCTTTTATTAAGTAAAATCGACCAAAAAAAAATATTCTAATCATTAAATTTAATATAAGTATATATAAAATATTTAAAATATTATTTTTTTATTTAATTAAAATATATAAAATATTATTTTTTTATTTAATTTAATGATTAAAATATTATTTTTTTCGTCGATTTTACTTAATAAAAATAGATAAATAGTGTATATTAAAAATAAATAGATAAAATTTAAGATTTAATTTGACAAAATAAAAAATTCAGAATTTAATTTGTTATAAGGGTCAAACCCTAATTATTTTTTTTATAATTTTTCCAAGGAAAATTACTAAAAATAAATAGATAAAATTTAGAATTTAATTTGACAAAATAAAAAATTCAGAATTTAATTTGTTATAAGGGTCAAACCCTAAATATTTTTTTTATAATTTTTCCAAGGAAAATTACTTTTTACCCCTTCAATGAATGTCTCATATCACTTTACACCATTGAATTGAAAATTGTAACATTTAACCCCCTCATTTATTTTGTTTTGTTTTTTTTTTTTTTAAATTTAAACTTTAATGACGAAAACACCCTTTCAACTATAGAGATAAATCATACTTTACCTCCGTAAACTATCACTCAATATTATTCTACCCCTTAACTAAAAATATTTTTTGGTTTTAAGCTAAATTATAGTTCTTGCGGGTTTTTTTGCATTTTATTTTATTTTATTTTTTGTTTTTTTGTAGTTTTTTGGGGAAATTACAAAAAAAAATTGACTCTAAAGACAAAATAAATCCTGAATTTTTAATTTTATCAATTTAAATCCTAAATTTTTAACTTTTCAATCTAAGGCCCCGTTTGGGGACTTACTTTTTTAGCCAATTAGCCAAAAAGTTACTAAATTAGCCAAAAAGCCAATAAGTCATACCAAAAAGTCAAAGATTCTCTTTTTTCTCTACTTTTTGCACATCTTTTCATAATTAACCAAAAAGTCATCCCAAACATACAAAATTTTTTTACCTACTTTTTTAGCCAAATAGCTAAAAAGTTACTAAATTAGCCTATTCCCAAACGAGGCCTAAATCATTTGCATATCTTTGTTAAGTAAAATCAATAAAACAATAAGTATTTTAATCATTAAACTCAATGAAATGGTATTTTAGACATTTTACATATATTTATATTGAGTTTAATAACTGAAATATTTTTTTTCTATCAATTTTACTTGACAAAAATAAGTTAATAGTTTAGATTGAAAACAAATCAAAAGATTATATTTAAATTGACACAATTAAAAATTCAGAATTTATTTTTTAGAATGTTAAAACTCGAAGGTTCATATTGTAATTGTCCTTAGTTTTTTTTTTTTTTAATATTTTAGTCAAAGTTTTAAAATTTTAGATGAAAAAATTTTTAACTAAAAAATGAAAGAAATTCACTAAAGACAAAAAATTATAAAAAATAAAAAACTCAAAATTAAAAAATAAATCAAATAGATTTATAATGTCATTTAAGCATTCCATTTGAGATTCATGTGTAAGTCACATGCAAAATTTTCATCTATTTAAGAGATAGATTCTTATCAAAATATTTACATTGATATAAATTTATAATTCAAAATGACAAACGTATTATGTTTTAGTTGAAAGGGTAAAGTAATACAATTCCGATTGTTAGCTCGAAAACAAGACGACTCAAATAGCCCGAGTCCAAAACGACATCATTTTGGAAATTTTTTTTTTTTTTCTTCTCTTTTGTCTTTGAAGATGAAGAACACAGAGAGAAGAGGAAACTGGGGAGCACATCATCTTCATCAACACATCATCATCATCATCAACAACATCTTTATCAACATCAACACATCATCATCATCAACAACAACATCTTCATCAACATCATCATCATCATCAAACACATCATCATAATCAACAACAGCATCTTCATCAACATCATCATCAACAACATCATCATCATCAACATCGATTGATTTTGTGAAATCCATATCCATCTATTTCGATGAAATCAATCGATTTCAAACCTGGAAAAAAGAAGAAGAAGAAGAAGAAGAAACTTAGTGGAGTCTCTGGTGGAGCTCTCTCTCTCTTTCTTCTCTCTTCTCTCTCTTTCTCTTTCTCTTCCTCTCTCTTCGTCTCTCTATTTGTCCCTCTGTCCTTTAGAGATCTAACAGGGGGGGAAAAAAAACACTGCCCAAAACGACATCGCTTTGGGCAATCGGGCCATTCGAGTCAAAGGATTTTCGAGCTACGAATCATTTTTCAAAGTAATATTGGATGATAGTTCAAGGGGGTAAAGTATAGTTTATTCTATTGATGAAATGGTATCTTCCTTATAAAGGTTCAAATTTAGGGGAAAAAAAATAGTAGATAAGGGATTTAAGTGTTACAATTTTTAATGAGTGGGATAAAATGATATGGGATAATAGTTGAGGAATTAAAATGTAATTTATCCATAGATAAATGTAATTTTGACTAAAAGTAGTGTTGATAATTGAATTTTAATATTTAAAATTAAATGTATCAAGTGAAATTAATTAAATTTGTATGATAATTACATTTTATACTACTTAAAATTTTAAATAATTTTGAAAATGTAAGTTAAAAATTAGGATAAAATCTATTTTAACTCCTTATGGTTTGACCATAATGCACTTTACCTCTATCATTTAAAAATAGTCAAAAACCTCCCTGTGTTTTGATAGTATTGCACTTTACCTCCCCGTCATTAAAAACTTCATCCAAATTAATAGAAAATAAACTACCCACCCCTATTTAAGGGAAATTCTATTAACACACCATCGTTTGTCTCAGTACATACAATTTACTTAGTTCACACCACACACAAATTGAATATGGTGATTTTGTCTCAATACATAGGGAGCTTCTATTTGCACACACTCATTCCCCTCTTTACACATCTTTTTTAATAAATAATTGGATCGAAAGTAGAATTTTGAAAATAAACAATTGGTTCAGAAGTAGCATTCCAAAAATAAATAACTTGTTCGGAAGTAGAGTTCTGAATTTTTTTCATGTTTTCGACATTCAACTTCCGAATGTGTTTATTTAATGCCCATAATAGTAATTTTACTTGAAAATAAAATTATAATAAAAATAATTTTTATTAAGTGTGTGTAAAGAGGGGAATGAGGATGTGCAAATAGAAGCTCCCCAATACACACCACCAATTTTCATATAATACCATATTACCCTTATCTTCTCCAACAAACCCAAACGCTAATTCTAACCTTAACCACTGCCAACGTCGGCCACCACCCCCTCCAGTCGCCGCCCTAGCCTCTATTTGCTCCCATCTTAGCTCCCTCTCGTCATCGCCCCAACTATCTCCAGTCTTCTGCATCTTTCTTCTTCTAAACAAATTATGTTAAACCCTAGATCAAGGGTTTGAGGTGGTGATGATCGCGATTTGCCACGGCAGAGAAACGACTTGCGTGAGTTGCAATGGCAACGGCAATGGGAGACAACTCGAGTTGCAACGGTAGCTAAGGGAGTGGCGCGAGTTGCAAACGAAAAAGAAGAGAAAGAGAAGAAAAAAAGAGAGAAAGAGAGATGCAACACAAAGAAGGAGAAGAAAAGATGCAGCGATCACCAAAGTCGCGGGTTGAGAAGTAACGGTTACTGAAGTCGAGGTCTGGGGAGGCCGCTATTGCCGAAGTCGAGGACTGGGAGGCTGCGTCACCGAAGTCGAAAAGGACAATAGGTGGTGTAGTGGCTAGTGCTGGTATGCTAAACAAATTAGGGTTAAGATTGTGTCTAAAAGGGTAATTTAATTAAGGAACAAAATTGTAATAAATTTTTTTTGAAAGATGGTGCGTATTAAGTAAATGAGTGGTGTGTAAATAAAATTATCCCCTATTTAGAGAGTTAACATAAAAGCACAAATCCAAATCCAAGGTAAATAGTCAAATATACCCTCAGCCTCATCTTCTTCTTTCAAACTAGTAGAAACCCTAAACCACCCTAATCCAACTTCATCCTCCCTTATAATTGAAGCCACCCTATTATATATGACTTTTGGGCTGCCAAGGAGCAATGTTAAAGATGCAAATTGATACCATTAATAATCAAATCGGAAGGCATAAAAAGTGTAATCACGACGTTCTTTCTCATTATAATCAAATAGCAATATCAAATCTGAAGTGTAAGACTCTCGAATCAAACCAGATATAAAGGAATGATAGAGTTTAAATGCCTAGGAATAACAAAGTTTAATGGTTGTCAACCCATAATCTCATTAAAATGACTTTTCTTTTACCAAAACTCATTAATTGACTTTTCTTTTATCAAAATTTTTTCCCTTCAAAAAGAATATATATATATATATACATATTATAATGAAATATAATACTTTTCCTCTTGTGATTTGGACCATATGCAGTTTACCTCCCTAACGTTTGGAAATTACTACATAACCCCTTTTGTAGTTTGTGAATGAAGTGCATCGTTAAAACCGCTAACAATTTAATTAAAAAGACTAAAATACCCCTATATTTTCGTCATTTGTTTAAAAGGCAAAATGCACTTTAACCCCCTGTGTTTTATTTCACGTGCGATTTACCCCTTTAAAATTTGAAAATGAGTATATAATCCCTTTATGTTTTCTATGTGTTTCACGCTTGCTGTTAAGTTGGATGGAATACTTAATAGCGTTTAACGATACACTTTAATCCACAAACCATGTGGCGGTTATGTGATCATTTCTAGACGTTAGAAAGTAAACCGCACATGACCCAAATCATATGGGGGTAAAACGAAGTTTGCCCTAATATCAAATTAGTAACGAAGTTAAAAAGTTAGAAATTAAGTTAGAAAAATAGAGAAAT